AGCATCTTCTTCGTGATTTATATGCCTTGCCTATAGGAAGCCTGACTTTATTATGTGACAATCTCAATGCCGTTTTTCTTAAGTCAAAATCCGGTCTCTCATTAACGTGCTAAATAGATTGACATTTACTACAATTTTCTTCGAGAGCTTGCTTAATCAGGAAAGCTTCACACTAAATTTATTTCTGCCAAGCTCTGGATGGCAAACATTTTCATCAAACCACTACCAAGACCCATGTTTCAATACTTTTGAGACAAGTTACATGTCTTTTGTCCACCGGTTCACTTGAAGGGGGTGTCAACGATATGGGATAATCTCCCTTATTTTTATATTAATTTTATTCTTTATTATCCTGATGAATTTTCCTTTTTGATCTCCTAGTTGTTTGTAATTATATTCCTTGTAATCCTTTGTAAAAGATCAGTTAAAATAATTGGGTTATACCTCTCATAGTAACCACATTTGTGAGAAAAAGAATGAAAAAGATAAGTGTATGGTTATGGTTGTGTAAAGTGGGAAAAAAATATGAAAGTGAGTATTATGTATGAAATGTGTTTTCATAAGAGTAGATGTGGTAGTAGATGTCTCATATAATACATTGTGAGTGGATTGATGAAGATAGTTTAGCAATTTTGTATTGAAAATGCAAGGAAATAACAAGCATATTATTATTTTGTGTAATGATAGTTAAGGACGAAAACAACCATAAAAGTGAACCATATAATGAGGGAATGTTGATGGAAGTTAAGGAAAGATTCTGATGATGGAATCTCTTTAAGGAGGGGAGATTGTAAGAACCCAAAATTTAAAGAGATTTGACTTTGGGTGAATAATTGACCAAAAGGGAAATTTGGTCATTTAGAGGAATTTCTTGAATTTAGAAGGTGTAACTTCATGAAATGAGTCAAGATAAGTCTAAGTCACTTTTATTAGATGAGATAAGTGGGTTCCAGATAAAAAATGCAAGCAATTGTGCATTTAGGATATAAAGGGTAAAATGAGAATTTTATGTTTTTTGCGCCATTTGACTTAATAGATTAAGACCTTTATGTAGATTGTCATAAATGACTTAATAGAGTTGTCGAACTCATCCCATCTTCATGTGGATATAAAGATCATAGAAAACAGGTTTAAAACAAAGATATTATGAGTGTTAGAAGATTAGAAGAAAATTGACCCAAAGCTTGAATGGAATCAGGTAAGGACCTGCTAAAGTGCAACCACCGCAACATGGCAAGGCCTTTACCACGACACAGTGGGCGAAGAGATAATATGGACAAAAGTTTCATCATAAGTTGAGGGAATTGTACTTTACATTGTGGCATGGTATATGGGTACTCGTGATACAGTGGTGAAAGTAGGATGCTATAAGAGAAAGGCATCATGGCTCGACTATAGGGAGACCACATCCTAATACGGTGCACCACGAAGTGGTAGGCATGCTTTCGTAATGTGGTTACATGGAGTAGTAAATGGATTAAAAGATAGTAAGGGTCCATTCTCATACCAAAACTCACCCAAATGGTTTGAGAGTCTACAGATGGAGATTTTGATGCCAAGATGAGCTAGAGATAGTGGATTGCAAGGATTAACATCCTTTTCCCCTTTAGGTAATGGTTTCTCCTTTTTATGAAGCATTGAGCTTTAAAAGTGAAATTGTTAGTTTCGTTAGATTTTTTTCTTTAATAGGATTATAAGTCAATTAGTATGTTATTGAGAGTGTTTAGAAGCTTTGAACAAGCTTTGTATGTGATTTCCATTGTTGAATCCATATATGGAAAGTTTTGGTTTCAAAACCTAATTAGTGAGGAAGATAAATTGATGCAACAGATTTTAGAGTGTTATGCTTTACGTAGTATGGGATGCTTAATTCATTGGATAAAATATATTTAGAGGTAGAAGAAGAGATGTAAGAATTATGATCAATTATGTGATCATTTTGATATGAAGATAAGTTAAGCTCTCAATAGGCTAAGACAAGTTCTAAGGATCTTGATATGTTGTATGAATATGCCTTTAGCAAACAATATGGATCAAGTTGCATCAATTGAATATTTGAATCCAAAGGTAGTTAGTCTTCACTAACTAAGAAAATATGTTGTAACTCTCTCTCTTTCTCTCTCAGTAGCTTATGATTATATGTTTTATAATCTTACGAATATATATATATATATATATGTGTGTGTGTGTGTGTGTGTGTATTCATGTTTATATGTTACTGATATTGTGTTAGATACCTACAAGATATTAGGTAAAGATAGAATGTGATTACATGAATTGTAATCTTGTAAATGAGTATGCATGTATGTTTAGATGTTAACGATATTTTGTTAAATACCCACCATATACTAGATGAAGATAGAGCATGGATGTATGTCTAGATGTTAATGGTATTATGTTAAATATTTATATGTTAGTAGATAACAATTTTGATTTAGTACTTAATAAATTAAGTATTACATTGGTAGTAGAAGATCTATTAATGAGATGACGAGATAGAATTTTATGAGACATGTGAGGTGTAAGACTATGGAGAGGCCATAACACTCACATGAAAGGTTATGAGAATAATAGAAAGATGCTTCCTACGAGAATGTAGAAAGATAATTCCTATAGGAATTAGATTATGATTCCTTTGGGAAATAGATTTTGTTTCCTATGGGAATGAGATGATGATTCCTTCAAGAATAAGATTATGTGTGATTAGAGAAGATTGATAAAGGTTTCCATGTTGGAACAACGTAATAGAGAGTTCTTCTAAAGAACCTTGATAAGTAATATGTGAGGGATTAAGTGTAAAGGATTCGGAAGTGATCATTATAATCCATGAGGGATTCAAGAGAAGAAAATTGCCAAAGGATCCATGAGGAGACTAAGTCCAGATGATTGTACACCGGTAAGATCAGAGTATATGGTCCCCCAATATGAAGATGAAGTATAATATGCGATTATACCGTTTAGGTCTAAATAAGAGTAGAATGGTAAAACAAAAAGAGATGAGAGCATAGAGAAATGAGGTGTGAATATATGATAAGGCATGTGATGATATATATTAAGTATATGAGAAGTGATGAGAAAGTAGCATGATGTGAGGTAGAAGAGTATGAGAATAAGTGAAGATAGAGTATGAAAAGAGCATGAGGTAAGACAAGAAGAGGTGTAGAAAGAGTAAGAAAAGAGCATGAGACGAGATGAAAACAAAATAAGAGCATGAGAAGAGGTAATGATAGAATGGGAGAAAGTATGAGATGAGATGAACATGTGAAGAATAAAGTAGATGAGACGAGAACAAAGGAGATGTGTATGAGAAGAGATGATATTACAATAGATAATATAAGAAGAATGTATTGGAGTTAAAGAGTATGAAAAGAAAAGAAAATAATCTTAAAGTATGCAAAGAAAGAAAGAATAGAAGTAGAGTATGATTGCATGAAAACATAATATGGTATAACTCACCAGACCACATTGTGGTCTGATGTTGTAGATTCTTCCATGTGTTGCAGGTTCAGGTAGTAGCCGCTGTAGGAGATTAGATAGGAGCATAATGGACTTGAACTAGAAGTAGATTTAAGTTTTGGTATTTACTTGTTGCTTTAAATTGTGATTATGATACATTGTAAACGTTCTAATATCCTGGGATGTAAAATGTTTTTGAAGTTTAGAATTCTACATTTTTAGAAAACTTGAATAAATCCCCATAATATTTAGATGGAAAATTATGGTCGTTACTCAATCACATGCCAACTTTTAAACTTGTTTTGTTAAAAAAAATTGTAATATAGGGGTCTTGCCCCCTTGATCCCATACAGGGATATACGTCTTGAGTCTTTGACCCAATCATTTTTTTTCGTGCTAGTGTTCAAACTAGTTGTATAAAAATATGTATCATATACCAACTTACTTTTAATATATAATAGTTTAAAGGGTAAATAACATGGATGCTCCCTATGGTTTAGGGGAACTTGCATGCTTAGTCCCTGAGCAAGATTTTTAACTCGAAAGATCCCTAATATTAAAATTCGTAAACCGCCTGGTCCCTCACTTAACAATGCGTCTATCTTGTGGTTAGAAACCCCCACGTGACAAGCACGTTGGAGGTATTTTTTGTCTTTTCATATCGCCCAGGCTTTAAACTTGGTTTATTCTTCTTCCTCCCTCATTTATTTCTCAATAGTGTTCTTCACCTCCCACAATTCTTCTCACAGTCGATAGAAAATCAAAATGGTGAAATGAAATTGTGGTGTTATAGGTGTTATACAGACTTCAAATATGAAAAGAAACCCATGTAGTACATTTTATGCTTGCCCGTTACAGGTATGATATTGTAATTGTTTTGGGGGATTTTATATTGTAACCCTAGTCTTGTGTTAACCGAAGCTATTAACAGTACAAGGACCAAGGTCTAGCTTTATTAAGTGGGTAGGTGAAGAAAAGCATGTTCATGAGGCGGAAATAAAAAACGAGGGACTTCATATCCGAATACAAGAACTTGAAGTCCAAAATCGGAATATGATGACATTGTTAATAATCAGTTGGTTTTTCTTTTTTTGGGATAATTGTTTACAAGTTGTAGTGTTAGGTTTAAGATCAAGTGATGTAGTTGTAGTTTTTTACAATGCTTTGTAATGAATTTTATTTATATCAAGGGCAACCTTTTATCAATGAAAATGTTATTATGTTGAACTATATTGTATTTTACAATTTGTGAAGTATATTGGGACTATATTATGCAGATGAGCAGAACAAATGACCAAAAGCAATGACTAAAAGCAATCCCAAAAGCAATCACCAAAAAATGAGCAAAACAGATGACCAAAAAAATCATCCCCAAAACAATCAAAATGTTACATTGTTTGTCAAAAGTAAAGTACATTGCTAAAACTAGATACTACAATAAAAATATTGTTTGTCAAAAGCAATCAACACAACCATGAAAACATATAATCTAGTTCAAAATAAAACAATGTTTGTCAACATCAACCAAAACAAAACATAAGCACCTACAAGCCACATTCATGCGATACATTTCCGTTTTTGCTAACACCTGTAATCTTTACTTTTTCACTTCCAGCACCACCGATATTTCTTGAACTTTGTGATCCAACAACATTCCTTGATGTTTGAGAACCACCAGAATTCTATCCCTTGCAAGTCCTTGCATTATGCTCACTTTTGTTACACTTAGAACATGTCATTGACTTTTGTGCTCTTGACAATCCGTTACCTTTCACCAAATCCTAAACTTCCATGGTAGATCTCCTTTTTTTGGTCTTCCAATGGGCATATGATGTTTTGGAGGGAGTAAGGTTGTAGGGCATGTAGACTTCTCCCAAATGTTCCTTTCATTGTTTGGCTCAATTATAAAAGAATACATATTCACTGAATTCATTCGATGTTTCTAACTAATACATTCGATGGACATGGATAATACTTAACTCACTGAATTCATAACCACTATCATCCCCAAATTCATCTTCATTTATGTCCTTAAATTTGTCCCCACTTTTAAATTTAGCCCATGGATCTTCTCCATCCTTGTTAGCATCCCCAAATTGAACTTCATTTGTGTGCTCAAATTTGTCCCCAATTTCAAATTCATCACATGGATTTCCTTCCTTGTTATTATCCCCAACTTCAACTTCAGCTTCCTTGTCCCCATAATTAATAAAAGTTAAGTCCATATTGTCATTTCTAGTTATGTCCACTACATTGGACCCTTTAAAAGCATCCCCAACATCATTTTTGTCCCCTATATCATACCAATCTAAGAAAAGCCTACGAGAACGTGTTGAAGGTTCAATAATTTCATTTATTCAAAATTTTAACTGATTTGGGGACCTTGTGTACGTATGCAATTGGGTTCTTCCATGCTCAATATAGACTTCAATCAAATTATGCTAGGAAATGAAGGTACACAGATGTCGCACATCCTGATCACTACCCAAAACAAATAACCCGAAATCAAATCTGAAAAAGGTCATCTGAAGTGATAGTACAAAGGTATACCTTCATCAACATAGCCTAATTGTTCCATCATTTCATCAATTTCATGCACTAAGAAAGTATCCATGTCGAGTAAGTCCACATACATCTATTTTCCTTTGATGTACTTTCTTCTAGGAATTTTGGTGAACTCTCCACCATGGTACAAGTTAATGAAAAAGATTGTCAGATGCCCCCTATGAAATAACCCACTTCAGATTTGGTTTCAACAAAATCAAAGCTATAGAAGATTAAGAGTGAAAGACTATTAAGTAATGATGTCTAACATCGATTTCCTCCATATTTTCACGTATACGCCACAACACCATTACGTTTTAGAGAGGAAGATACAACGATACGGGTTTTCTGATCTTGAGTGTGTGAAATTTTTGTCTAAGTTTTTTGAATGGAGAGATGGAGTACTGAGATAATGATCACCCCTTTGTATACAACAAGACAGTAGCACTCTAGAATATTAAAAAGACAAAAATGCCCCTGCATGCCTTGCACGTGGGGTGTTTTAACAGAGAAACTTGATGGAATGTTAAGTCAGGGACCAAGCAGGTTACAAATTTTAACATTAGGGATCTTCCGAGTTTATTAAACGTGTTATATTGTTCATTTTTAACATATTTCATACTATTTATAAAGTTATTTGTTTTTATTTTCAATCAATAAAGTTTATATTAATAATAAAATTTATTGCTAGAAAACCTTGTATTTTAGAATAGTCACCACGTTACTATTGAAACTGAAATAATATCTACTCTTAGACTCTTACCAAAGTAAATGAGTCGACGGATCACCGTTTTTAGGGCTAGGATCCTCAAAGCGTTCAGGATCCTCAAACCTCATTAGATATTTAGGATCCTCAACTATCTCAGGATCTCGACTATTACCGTTATTATTATTTAGTGGAATTTATAACGGTTATATTTCGTTCTTAATTAACACATATGTAGAAATAGTCAAGAGAATACTTATTATCAACAAAGAGTCGTCTCAACTATGCTAAGGACCCGGAATACTAAGTCAAACAACGTTCAAAAAGCTAGTCATAGAGGACCCCTGTAATATCGGACATCTTGTTAGCTAGTTTAGACTATAAATTGAAACATGTATCTCGCACACGACACACTCTACCTACTCTTAGTTTACTCTACGAACTTTTTCACTTGTTCTTACTAAAATACTATGTAATCATCATTTTATGTTAATAAAATCATCAAAGCAAGTGATAATTATCACCTCCCAAGGTTTTGTGCAGGAGATCCTAGCAAGGATCAAGGTCTTTCCTTGTAAACAATCGTTTCATTCTCTTTACCTTTCTCTATTGCACAATTCGAGAATCACAACCTATCATTTAATTTGGTTGATTTATAATTGTGTAATTTTTAACCAAAACAATTTGGTGCCCACCGTGGGGTCGTGGTGTTCAAAATCCTCGAAATATCATGTCTACACAACTGATCTATTCTTCATCCTCCGCTCCTTCCATTCCAACCAAAAACCTATTACTTCCTCTGAGTAAACCTCCTAGTCAGAGGAAAGCGCCTGATACTTCTAATAGAAACACCCCTCCGGTCACTAACCAAGGAAGTTTGGGATCTTCAGGACTCCAGGATCCAACTACTCCGTTCACTACTATTGAACTCTTCGCTATGATGAGGAAAATGACGTAACAGATGACTAACCAGCAAGACGAAAATAGAACACTACTTATAGAAGTGGAGAGGATGGAGGTGGAATTTCAGAGATCCCAGGAAACGATGCCCACAGTTGTAAAACCAAGGATCCTAAACTTCGACAATGCAGGATCCTCAGGAAATCATCAGGGGAACACAACTCCTGCTACTGCTGCATCACCCTGGGGGACGACTATGAACAATCAAGCATCTATGATCAAATGCCTCGATGAGCCTTGCAATACTCCTAGAAACCTTGATTCTAGTAACTTCTTAAACAACAATACTATCAATACTAACTATATGAATGTTGATACAGGAATGAGTCCAAACATGGCTAGGGAACTTCAGCAGTTAAGACAGATGATCTCAAGCATACCCGGGGTAGTTCAACCCATACCAAAAGCATCTCCAACAAGTCACATGATCTTGAGATTTTCTCCTGTGATAGTAGACACCGATATTCCTAAGTGCTTCCATACTCCTAGCATGAAGCCTTACGATGGAACTACGGATCCTGAAGAGCATGTAGCACAATACTGAGAAAGGATGGAGATCAATCCCATCCCAGTTCCCTTGTAGCACGAACCTACGAGAAGATCACTAGTGATCTGTATCGGGTGGTTCAGGATCCTAAGGGATGACTTAGGGATTTTGTTAACAAGGTTGGCAGGGAATCTCTGAGCATCCCCAACATTGACATTTCGACTATTGTGGAGGCCTTCAAGATGGGTTAAAAGAAGGATTCACCATTCTATGAAGATCTCATGATGACTCCATGCAATAAATTAGACGAAGTTAGGTGCCTAGCATTGAGGTTCATAAGGGTTGAAGAGGATAAAGAAGTACAGAAGAGGAGCAACCCTTTAAGTCAATACGAGAATACCAATAGGAATGTCAAATCCTCAGATCCAAGATCCTACAAATCAAAGCCCTATGCCAAACCAGATCATCATAGGGTTAATGCCTTCGAAGATGAAGGAGAAGAAGAAGAAGAACCTCCTAAGTTCACTGACGATTGTTTTTTGTGGATATTTTAGGTTTAATCTATACTATGCAGGAACTCGGAGACAAAGCAAAGTGGTCAAAGAAGGATAACAAGTCCACTAGTTGGAAAGACAAGTCCATATGGTGTGCTTACCACAAGGATTTCAGTCACATGATGGAGGATTGCATAGCCCTAATGAAGGAGATCAGATACCTCCTTAGCAAAGAGAATTTTAAAGAGATCAATAGAAGAAAGAAAGAAAAGTCCAAGGAGAACAACCAAGATGGTTACAATATCCTGGAGAAACCAGGATCTCCACCCCTAAAGCCAAGATAATTAATGTTATCTTAGGCGGATCTAACATCTGTGGTACTTCTTATTCTTAGGATAAAAGACATGCCAAGGTCTCTAAAATAAAAAAGTAGGATAGACCATGGAAGAATACCTCGGTTAGAAATGAAAAGGAACTCATATTTGACGAGATGGATAGTGAAGAGATCCAGGATCCTCACCATCACAGACTCGTGATAACACTATACATTGCCAACCACTTCGTCATAAGGATCCTTATTGATGGAGGATCCTCAGTCAACATCATACTCTTGGAGGCCCTGAAGAGGATGAACATCCCGAAATCAGAGATAATCAAAAGATCCTCGGTCCTTATAGGATTTAGCGGAGAAAAGAAACACGCCATCGGGGAGATAAAGCTACCAATATACATAGAGGGGGTAAACTCTATACAAAATTTATGTGTTATTAACACCTTATCTTCTTATAATGTGATATTACGCAGATCGTGGATCCACGAGATGAAAGTGGTTTCATCAACATATCATCAGTGTGTAAAGATGCCTACTTTATGGGGAACAGTGACGATCATGGGAGATCAACAAGAGTCAAAGGAATGTTATAAAACCTATAAGAAGCCTGCGATGAAATCCCGACAAGCATAGAAATTAAGGCAGGGGCACGACATGTTCAAGAAACAAAGAAGCAAAACGTGAAGGAAGTGCCCCTGAGCAGCGAGGATCCTCAAGCCAAAGTCCTCATAGGATCCTCAATACCCAAGCAAATTGAGCAAGACTTGTTAAACTTCCTTCGAACTAGAAGCAAGATGTTCACATGGAAACATGAAGATATTATAGGTATAGACAAGAGTATTATCACTCATAAACTTAATATTGATCCTTATATCAGACCGATACATCGAAAGAGAAGGAAGTTTGCACCTGAAAGGAATCAGATCATCCAAAAAGAAGTGGAAAGGCTCCTCAAGATAGGGATGATCAAGGAAGTGAAATTCCCGAGATGGATAGCTAATGTAGTTGTTGTGTAGAAGAAGAATGGAAAGTGGCGAGTATGTGTGGACTACACAGATCTTAAAAAGGCTTGTCCTAAGGATATTTTCCTATGCCACACATTGACTCCATGATAGGTGCAACAGCTGGCCACGAACTCTTAATTTTCATGGATGCTTCAGCAGGATTCCAACAAATCCATATGGAACCATTCGATTAAGAAGATACAACATTTATAACACCAACAGGTATATATTGTTACACTGCAATGCCTTTTGGTCATAAAAATGCAGGTGCAGCATATCAAAGATTGGTGAACCGAATGTTTAAAGACAAGCTGGGAGACACCATGGAGGTCTACATTGAAGACATGTTGGTGAAGTCCATGAAAGCTTAAGATCATCTCATGGATCTCAAAGAAGCATCCGACATTCTAGAAGAATATAACATGAAGTTGAATCCATCTAAATGCCACTTTGGGATGAAGTCGGGCAAGTTCCTTAGGTATATGGTAACCAAGAGAGGAATAGAAGCAAACCCGAAGTAGATCAAAGCAATCATCAAGCTAAGATCTCCATCTTCAACAAAAGACATCCAAAGGCTAACCGGAAGCGTAGCAACGCTCAACAGGTTCATTTCAAGATCCTCAGAAAGGTGTAACCCCTTCTATGATATCTTAAATAAGAAAAAGAAGTTTGAATGGACCGAAGAATACAAAGAAGCTTTTCAAGAACTCAAAAGATAATTAAGTTCCGCACCACTAATGGTGAAGCCTATAGATGGAGAACCACTTCTCCTCTATCTCTCGGTATCCTCAAGTGCGGTAAGTGCTATCCTAGCCAAGAATCTTAACGGAGACCAACATCTTATCCACTATGTAAGTCAAAGTCTTCTGGATCCGAAGACCAGGTATTCCCATCTTGAAAAATTAATTCTTGCATTAGTAACTGCTTCTACTAAGTTAAGACATTGTTTCGAGATAAATACTATACATGTGAAAACTAATTATCCTATTAAGAACGTGATGAGAAAACCAGATATGTCAGGAAGGATGGAAAAATGGCAAGTGAAGTTAACCACATTTGACATAAAATATGAGCCAAGATCCACCATA